TAGACGCGAGAAAACGCAAGGAAGATAGTCCGAAATTTTCATGCAGCATTACTTTCTTATCTTGTCTGTGCTATTTTTGCTTACTAGGTGTCCTAAGACTAGTGTGACTTTCGTACTTCGAACTTTCGTGCGCTAGGTGGGTCTCTTTCCAGGAGCTCCTCTCGAAAAGTATACCCCCTGTTTGATCTCCTTTTTTAGGGCCGGCGCTGAGGCGAATATCCTTTATTTGTCGCTTCGCAGCCTCTCGTGACAGGGCCGCGCTAGACTGTTCTAGTAGTAGTGCTGGGAATGGTGAGAGAAGGCGGATAAAAATTAAAGACTGGGTCAGTCCCCAATGCCCCGACAGAGCAGACGATTGAGCTCAGGACGGGCTTTCCAAGAAAGGCTCTGAGTGAATTCTCCAAAAAAAAGATTGACTGCACGGAAAATTTGTCGCTGGTGCAAAGGAAGAGACTGCAAAGAGTGCAGTGATGAAAAAGTAAGGTAAACGGCTTAAACTCTGAGCGAGACCCTTGTTTTCCCCGTTCATTTCCATTTAGGCGGGTCTTATCGATGCTAATGTCATTGACGTGAACGCTCTGCCCTAATCTCTGTTGAAACGACTAGAATCCGACTGCAAGGACCTGGCAGCTGGGAAAGCCAAAGAGCCTTGCAGTCGGAGGGCAGAGGGGCAAAGCGTATGAAGAGAAGGAAGGACCTTCCCAGGCCGACGAGGGCACAGCGGGCATATTTGAATCTGAAATCCGCTAATCGTCAGATTATTCTCCATTAGAGCTTGTCGGGTTCGTGGAATCGGTGTGACCGTCACACCTTTGAGATTTCTCCTGAGGTGTCTTCTGAGGTGGGACATGAGCTTGTTTTTGAAACGTCACCAAACTCAAAGAATGTCGACCAACATGACAGCGTAGAGATTGAAAAGCTGGTTTGGACAGCTTTCCTGCTGCTCGTAGAGGAAGCACGCTGGGTAGTCCATGATTCTGTGGCATGTTTTGTTGTGTGTGGAATCCCTTCACTAAAACGACACGCGAACGTTTGCGACCTAAGCGGTCCTATGTAAAATCCTGTGTAAAAAAAGGGTCATCTCTAGATAGTCCTTTTTTGGAATGCTTGGCACGTTTTAGTCATCATCGCTCCACCGCGACATTTTTGGGAGTGGCCACAAAGAGTTTTTCTTCGGACGACCATCGTATGATTGAGGACTCACCTACCGCATGGGATTGCTGCCGCAACCCGCCCCCCCACGAAGTAGGGTAACAAGTCGATACCTTCATGAAACCAGGCCGCAAATGCGATCCTATGCTCCATATAAACGGAGGAGCCTTCAGGATGGTATGTATTTGCTTTAGTGGCGTATGACATCCTACACTTTTCTTATGAAAAATCCAAGTAGATGATAGTACAGAGTGATGTTGATGTTGCACCTATCTAAACTGTTGGGAATGTGCCTTGCACACTGACGATCCGAGAGCTGAACTGAATCTCGGTTCTGGTTGCAAACCTGCCTGTAAGGCAGCTCCATCAGAAATCAATCGATGAATAGAGGTTCGATTTTGCCGACATGTTGGACAGCGAGCACGCTCTTAGACAGTGCACCCATATTGAAAGAAAAATTACCGAAACGACAACTCTAAGAGTTAGAGCGAGTTGCTTGGCTAACGCCAGAACCGTGCTCGATGTGAGCTAATCTTTTCGCTCATCTGTGGTCAGACAACCCCATATAAATTCGACGTTCCCAACAAAACTTCACAGATCCTTGCAATTTCAAACGGTGTTGAAAGCATGGCGCAGACATTAGGAAAAACTTCATTCATATCTCATCCCTTTCACAACGCAAAATACGCCGCTAAGGTTGCTTGGTTGTGAAGGAGGTTATCTATACGAGCGATCGTTGCGGCGATATACGGTGACGCCTGGACGTAAGCCGGCATTCAGATGAGGTAATCTTTCATGGAGTGAACCGGAGAGCAGTATGCAATATAACCGTGGCGCTTATAGGCGCTTAATCGCGGTTTGTCACCCAACCTGACCTTTTCGATATCCTCTTCCCTACATACTTCAGCAACCCAACCCCTTCACAGTTGACGTTTTTTCACATTGTAGGCCATCCTTGCAGATCTTTTGCAAAGATAAGTCTCTACAGGATCGCCGCTTCATTTCGATTCTTTCGCGGCTACTCCTTTTCGGATCCTCTGCGGTCAACCTTGGTAGCACGAACTCGTGTGCTTTTTGCAAATCTTCAAGGTTTTGTGGCTCACGTCTTTCTGTGAATGAGGACTTCCTGATTGATTGAGGAGATTGCATATAAAAACCTGTCCTTCGTTAGCGGTGCTTTGTCATGTGGATTGGAAAGACGACATGAACGGCCAAACGGCCTGGTCTGCCGGCTGTTCTTCACCGCTTTCGGAGGACTTTGCTGACATTGGGAGGTAGTGGGGTGTTATCTTGACGTTCACATTTATGCTTTCCTTGCCCTGTTTCTTCGAGGCTCGAATCTTTTCGCCTTCGCTAATCGCTATGTCAGATGAAATTCTTGTTTGGCCTATCTTTATAGCATTTCTTGAAGTCTGACGAGCTACGAGCTTTTGACTCGGAAGTCGCTCGGAAGTTTCTCCCTACGAGTGCTTCCACCTTTTGGCAGTAGTTCCCGGTGCTTGTCACTGTCGTATTATGAGCGCCTTTTACTACTCAGAGAGACTTGCAGAGAAACCTCCGAGTTACGGGCCGCAGCAGTGTCGGCAGCATATGCTGCCGGCACGCCCACTAGTCTATGACTGGCTGGCTCGCGTCTGCACACAGTAACCCGTGTGGTGGTAGCCAATCACGGACGAGTGGGCGTGTCGGCACCTGGCCCGTAACTTGGTTTGTCTTGCAAGTCCACCTGAGTACAGAAGGCTCGATACAGTACGCCTCGTAGTGCAGAGATCTTTCTCGTCAGGCTACTTCCGAGCACTCAGGGCTACTCATTCCAAATTATTTCTGGTTCTGAGTGTCTACTGTCCTGACAGCTACTGTAAGAGCTTCTGATAACTATTCCGAATTTTCGCTATTCAGTCATTCACAACACTTACTCACGTCTGCCGTTCTCGCTACACACCATGTTTCCTCATATTATTTACCGAGGGTGACATAGTGGAGTCACGGCGCGGCGCCGCGCGGTGTTACTGCGCACTGCGCGCGGCACGTTCGCGTGAGTATTAAAAATAGCGACAATATTCACGTTTTTCGTGAACTCATCCGATCAATCAAATCAAACACAATTTGCTCGGCTGTGACCCAACTCCTAAACATTAGTAGTATTTCACCAAACAGCCCTTCAATTTTTCCACAGTTTGAGCGCTTCAGCTAGAAGGTCGGTGAATGGATGGTGATCCGACCTTTTGGGATCGTGACTACCACTGGACCATGAGATTGTTGACAAATTGAGCTGTGATCGCTCGGCTACCGCACATCACGTATAACACAATATGATTCTCATGGCAGATTAGTAGAGCTGCCGTAGCGGCGTTTGGGAAAGTAAACTGAACAGAATGTCACTTTCTCCGTTTGTCTTCATCCTCTCTTCCAACGCTCGAGATCATCGTGAGGAATTTACGACGAAAAGCAAGAAGTGATGAGGAAATACTTCGTAACCGAACCCTTCGAACTCAAAAAACCCTTTCTCAGCGCTCAATTCTCAACCGCACCAACGCATTCTTGAACAGTACCCTCTTTCTGAAAGGGCTGCTCGTGAATTATTCGAGTTGCGTATATTGTCTGCTCGCCCGTCTATTCGTCCATCCGTCTGCCTCTATCCTGATTTCCTACTGAGAAACCCCTACGTCATCTTGCTGCTTTGCTAATAGCCACAGTTTTGCCTCTTCTTTGTCGCCCTTGGTCATGAGTCTGACTATCTACGCAGACTATCTGCCTGGCCCACTTTAACCGTTTCCCTCAACGGGGCACTTTTTTAAATGGTTTCGTTTTCGTACAATTAATCCTAAGAACTGGGCCAGATCTGGCTCTCTACATTCAGGTTTCGACGATGTCGTGTCACTTTTAATATGGGAAAACATCTAAGAGGAAAAGGCCTTTTCTTCAGTTGTGCCTAGCAATTTTCAATCTTAACGCTTTCTAGAGCTCAGTTTCAGATTTTTCAGTTCAAGCTTCACCAAAATTAACAATTGCGTTAAAGCAACACTAAAATCGGTTGCGGTGATAGCGGTCGATAACGAAATTGCGGGTGCTGAACTGAATGAAAATGAAAAAAGAACTCAAGCAAGCTGCCGATGAAGCCATCAGCGAGCCCTCTATATCTCTCCATGAAATGAGGGAGGAACGTCTGGACGAGTTGTCCGATGCTCGTATTTTGCATCCACGGCTCCACTAGCCGCGCGCGTATTTTGAATTAGGCGCTACATGGTATCTACGCTTGACATGGAATCTACGCTGCTATCACGGGGGAGGGGGAGGGTAGGGCATACGAAGACTTGGCCTGTGCGCGTGAGGTCTGCGCTCATAAGTTCACATGAGTCATCATCAGATTAATTATGAGGCCTTAGCGCCACTGTCCAGCACAGCACACATCTGGTGATACTTGGGCTACTCTATCCCACCTACAGAATATATGTATGCTTCAACACGACTCATCTGGGGTTGTTACTCAAAGGAAGGATTCGCACAAACTGTGTCCGCGCGGTAATCTGCAACTCAAGAGTCAGCTACTCAGCGCTTCTTACCAACAGCTGTTCGTGTTAGCCAAACGACGTGCCGCGACACGACGACTTATTCAGTCTTCGTGTGGACCGCTCCCGCAAATGCAGTCAAAATGCCTTTTTCGACCAATGCGCCACGCGATCGCGCGGATACTAAGCCATTTCTAGGCTTGGTTTTTTAAATGTGTAAGTATTCGCCAGGGTATTCCGCCATGCATGAAAATGTTTTTTCAGTCGGTGTTCGACAACTACTTAAGCACCAGATACTGTTTTCAAGAGTTTTCAAGGGGGGATCGCCGCTAACCGTGGATGAACGGGCTGCCGTGGAACGAGTTCGTCAACTTGTCAGCGGCCAAAGTTCATCCTTACTGTGAGCACGACTACAACGTTCACCGATGGCTCACCGCCTACGAGGGAAACGAGGAGGAGACGGCAAAAGTGAGTCCCATGTCATAGGTCTGCTACACAGCTATTCAATATAATTTTAGCAACGCCAGGATGAGCGTACATTTGATTTCAACACATTAACGCAATGGCAGCCCATATGGGCTGCCACTCGCCTCCTAAGTTTTGTCCTAATTTCTCACATATATTTGATATCTATGTACAACTACTCACATCTATATCTAACTACTGTAATTAATGTCCTATACAGATTAGCGAATTACTCGGTGCTATTTATGTTTTTGTTCGTTTACTACATAAAATCCATGGGATGTGAGATTTGGCGACGAAACCGCGCCTGCCCACAACGCGTAAAGCGCGCAGTCGCGAAAGTGATAATTGAGACCATGGAAGTATTTTTTGTAATAGACTTATGAGCGCTGGGGCTGGCGTAATCCAAGAAAACGATTTGCACTTGGCCGTTCATTCTTTTGCGTTTTTGACTCCTACCAAACGCTTTCAGGTTTTGAGAAGACATCTTAATATTCGTGAAGTTATGTCGCTCACATCTCTGCCAAACGCCAAAGGGGAAGATATTGACGAGGAGGCAGAAAGTATGCTCCACTGACGATCCTTGGACGAAACCGTCTGGACGACAATAAGGTAAACTCATGACGTGATAGAAATTTCGTCACGATAAACAGGTTTCCACAGAGTTGCAACACTGGAGATATTGGTTTTTCCTTTCAGATTCTCCTATTTGAGCAAAGCGGTAAAATCGATCTAAATGGAGTTGTTGACAACATAAGGGTGAGTAAATTATCGCAATTGGTTTCACGAAGTTTGACGGTTACTGGTTCCAAATCTGCTGAGGGGGCTCAAAGGAGGAGCCCAAAGGATACCGTTGGAGGTCGAAGAAGGGGAAATATATCAACTCAAAAGGCAAGCGGGAATTGATGATACAAGACAATGCAGCAAGAGTCTGTACTCAGTGGCCTAGCAGGGCCATACCCGCACCGCTCGCGCCATGACACGCCTACAATGTTGATTTATATAATGTGATGGAACTGGCGACAGCAAGTTATTATATGGACCTCATTACAACTAAATGCCGTTACGATTTCAGAATAAATGTTTAGAGCGTGGCGCATCCCAAAATAGATAGATTAAGGCCAAATAACTTATGCTTGTCCCACTTAATAAACTTTTCCTAAGGCTCGAAATACAACATTCCTGCGAGAATTCTGTTGAATGAGTTTTAACTAAAACCTCTTGGGGCTTGTTCCTGATCTTATCGGGACAGCTTTCCGCAAGTGAAGAGGATTCACAGGAGCTTCATGCGCGAGTCGCGTAATGTTTTTAAAAAATTTGATAGATCTAGTTCTCTGGCAAGTCTGATCATATCCAGTCCAAATGAGGAGGAAAGCTTGAGGAAAAAGTGCCAATTGAGGGAAAACGTTGATCGGTGCTTTTGCGATGAGCATGCCATCAAAAAAGATGAAATACTAACCATAAAATGGCCTCTCGGATTGACGAACTACTGGTTTTTTTGACAGAAAAAAAAACATGGAACTAAAATGAACTTTTGATTTTCAAGTGTTCCGCGAAGATTACAAAATTATTTTTGCACTCCATGTGCTGAAATGCACTGCAGAAGACGAGCAATTTCAGCGAGGACTGCTTAAAGTGTTTTACGAGCGCTGACTGCTTAAAGTGGATTCACTACCCGATAAGGTTTCCTTGGTTTAGACGGGAAAGACTTCTCTAGCCCTCCAATGTCATCGTTGCAATATACTGACATCCTTGGTTCAGACGGAAAGCTCTTTAGCCCTCCAATATCATCGTTGCAATACTGACAGTCTTGTAGAAAGATGGCTTTTGGCTGAAAATGTCCCTCCCGGTCAAACATGAAATCGTTCTCACCGAGCGCCACATAAAAATACAACTTCCAGCTAACCAAATAGGGTATGCAACTGCATACTAGCATTTCCGCAGGTCATGGACCCGTATGATTCTAGACCCCATCGCCTGATGCCGGTAGGTAGAGTCATCCACTTGCATTTCCAACAAGGTCAACCGTGTGGCGCACACTTCTCAATGGGCACAGGTCGTATTTGGGTTCTTTTCAAAGGGGTCGTATCGGAAGTTGATGAAGGTCGAAAGCTCGAAAAAGAAGGGAGTCGTGTTTTCGGAAAATGGATGGGTTGTGGGGGCAGGAGAGGGGTCGCCTTGGCTATTCTTTCTCAATAACTTTGGTGGAAATTCGAAAAAGTAAGCATGTAGTGGTCGAAATAGAAGGATTTGTCGTCGCATTAGATAAGTTTACCACTCGCTCGACGGTCGCTCTAGAGAAAAAAGTGGGCAGAGTTGGACTGTGACTGCTCTCAGAACCTAACACCATAGAAACAGCCATGATGATGAGTGTGGAGGTCGAGGATGGGGCAGTGGAGTCGTATTGGATAACTCCCTTAACACTTATAGTGGCGGTGGGAGAGGTCGTATGGAAACCCCTTTAAAGGAGGGGGACGTAGAATTTCTAGAATTGGAACTGGAACAACGGAAGGTTGGCCCTGCACGGAATTACAAGTGGATGACTCCACCTAACAGCATCGTCGCGATGACGCCTCGAACTATTGTGAGTAGAATGAAGAATGAGTAAAACGATTCAGTGTTGATCCTCTCCTTCATAAGATGCGCTTCTTTCTCCATTCAAAATCTTAGCAGAAACATACAAAAGGGGGAGGCAAAAAACTTTTTGCACATGACGCACATCAGTAAACAATTGATTGGATTAGGGTACCGTATTGAGGGAGCCGGTACGGTAAGATATTTTTGAGATGTTCCTCCATCAGCAGACGAGGCCTTGTTCACTGCTTTCACCGTCTTCAGCAAATATAGACCTCCCCCATCGCAGTCGAGCTCAAGAGGCCTACCGTAATCGTTTCAGCCCGCAACTGTTGACGAATTTCTTTAATTGATTCACTACGGACAGTTTCTTAGATATAGTAAATCTGAATATGCAAGACTTCTGTCAACAAGCATTTCGGATAACGTCGTAATGGTCCACCGCCCGTCGAAAAACTCGTCGAGCTCGAACCTCACACCATGTTTCCCTGGCAGATTCTTCTGAGGCCGCCCGTGTACAAGGCACTACAAGCTATTCCAATAAACTAGAATGTGCTCTTCAATTTTTAGTTGAAATCATTCGGTTTGAGCTCACAAAAAGTGATTAATTTAGCCTTAGTTTCAGAGAAAAATGATTTTTCTGCTTGCCCTATATACTTCCCGGTGCAGAACTACCAAATTCACATTCTTCATGTTTCCGTTGAAACGCTAAGTTATATACTGACTCGGTTGGGCAGAAATTTGGGGTTGAAACTTAAGAGGAAGCAATATTCAGCCCAAAGAAACATCCAGTTTTAGGTAACGCGATTCCTACGCATGAAGTTTCGAACAATGGAACGTCTACAGCAAAGAGTTGAACGAGAAGAACGTCGTCAGGACCAGCAGAGCGGCGGCCTGCTGATCATGGACCTCGATGGACTTTCATTTAGCACAACCCTTCTGTCAGTTTTAGCAGGTGAGAACCTCCATGTTCTTGACAATTTTTTTTTCTAACGGACCCAGATGATGTCGACATCGGGTGTCTAATGGTTTTTAGGAACTCATTAGAAACGATGGCTGGCAGACGGTTCCAGTCAAATGAAGTCTTTGTTGCTTTACACGTATAGAAGCGTGTTTATAAGAGAACCGCCGAAGAGAAGTTTCGGGAACCTTTCACCATCCCCACTGTGAAATCCTTCTTGCGTGCCCTCTTTAAAAATCTGTAAAAGAATGAAAATTCCGTTCATGATTTTTCCCCAACGTAACAGATGTACCGCCATGGAAGAGTATTTCACAACGGATTACGATGCAGCTAACCTACAGTAGCAACT